CACTATTAAGATTCTGCAATCAACAACCTTAAAGGGATTTAAGACCATTTAATGCATTTCCTGAGGAAAAATGGAGAATATTTAACACAGTCCTGCTTGAGCCGTAAAATATAACCCTAGCAAGTTCTACAAAATAAGAATACCGTTCTACTTTGGAAGTCAAGAAAAAAGAAACAGCCCCTAAATGAAATGTGTTTCATAAACGTAAATTTGTCTAGATAGTGGAAAATACAGAACTCAACCGAATACTTAAAACAACAATCATAAAAACTCCAACTATAGGCTTTCCTGGTCAGATGAAGCAATACAACAAAATTGACATGTATACCATTCAAGAGAACATGTTCAGAAGCAAATACCTGGCGGAAGGACTCGGAACATCTGCGGTGGTTTTTAAAGTCATATATTGGAAGATGGACCGGGTTTCCTTGTTTGAGTTTTTCAACGCACTCTAGCATTTGCTCTGTGTCAAAAGCATCTACAAACAACGGCATTTTTTTTATTTAAGAGTATGAGCAAGCGTTCATCTGCTGTCAGCCTGTCACTGCTGTCCTCACTAGGCCCTATTTCTGAATAGGATATGGCAGGTTGGTTCGGTTTGAGGAGTCCCCCAAACTTTAGCCATTTTGGACCTGGATTATACATGGATCTCTACCATACAACAAGACAACTAGTTTGAAGTAACTCAAAATTCTTCATGATATTGAAACATGTTTTACATTTTCAGGAACATGTTTCTGCATTCCTTCTGTGTGCAAATAAATTTTACAAACAAAATTCAAAATTAACATCAACAATATCTTGAACAAGAGCTTTCACTATAAATTTCTTCTACACCTTACATGTAACCCCAAAGCTCCACGGATTCAGCGTGCAAAAGCCACTTCATTAGGCCGTATCTGCACTTTGGCTCAACCAGAAACACACCATTCTTGCAAACCAGCATTTTATTTAGCTACTTAGCATGGATCTGTACCTTTTTAAGGTGTAGATCAAGAGCATCACCTGTTGTTTGGCTTTCTTCATTTGGAATGCCAAATAACCGGAAACCCACCTCAAAAGGATCAACTCAAATCACATCCAAGATCCAATTGCAGAAGTATAGCATGTCATGCCCTCTTATGTTTTAGGTCACCCTAATAGAAATTTTCACTAAAGGAATAAAGGCAATAGATTTCAAGAGCCACAAGATCCTCTATTGTGATCAATACAACTGGAATCACATCTCAAAGCTTCCATCAAATTATATGGATGTAGGATCCAATTTGTGAATGTAAACCATGCCCACCTAATCTTTTAGGTCATTCCTGTACTTGGAGGGCAGGAAATGGCATTTTTTGCTAAAAGAATGAAGTCTAATACTTGAAGGAATCCAGAAATAGACCTAGCGAAAGGCCAGCCTTCCAATAATTGAACATGGTGACCAAGTTCCTTAATTTATTGAATAAAGGAAAAGAAGATGTGTACATGAGGGCTCCAATCCCCTCCACGACAGCCACAGCCAAAGCGGCAGAAAGAATATCCCAATCACCTGTTTGTCCTATAACGGTAGCAAAAGCTGTTGAACAATAGAAACCAGTCAAGAAAAACAGCAGTTTCAAGGGAAGATTCTTCCGCAGATCTTTAAAACGTGCATTTAGTTTGATTTGAAAGGCTTGTATGGCTCTTATGAGTCTAGTCCCTCTGCTGTTATTATTTGTGGAAGAGGGATTTAAACCGCTGCCATCTGCACTGCTTCTTATATGCCATGCCATCCTCCTATGCAGTGAAAAATTAACAGTTAAGAGCATGTTAACTTTCTAAAAAGATGAAAACTACAACTTTTGACCGATCACATAATTCAGGAGAAGAGTCTCTTGAAAACCTTTCAATCATGACAAATATAATAATCTTGTTGTGGACCTAAATCGATATTATCATTTCTTCCTAATGCACAGATGGTTTACAGTTTACTGTAAAATAAGGTGACATGAGTCTGAAAACTTAACATAATCTGTATATAAACGAAAGTTTACTCACTTGGAATCCTTGATGAAGAAAGGTTGCGTCAAATGGAAGATCCAAAACTTAGCATACAATGTCTTCTTAAATGAGGACGAACTTTTTAGAAGGTTTGATGAAAAAGGGACAGATGACACCTTTGATCTCAGATATCCGTTTGTATTAGGATAGCCAGGTGATGGCATTAGACTTGCTGACACCATGCAGAAACCTGCAAACCATAATTCTATACGATTTCAAGAACAATAGAGAATAGTGGTACAATAGAGAACAAATTTGAAATCAGATTATAAAAACTATAGAAGGTTTAGAAAAGTTTTACATTTTTAGTTCTTAAAGTGCATTGGGTCAACAATCAAATGGACAAAGGCTTGAAATCTTACACATGAAAACCACGCATTCATATCATAAGTTGGTGCAGGAAAATCCCTTCAAGAGTTCAAGGTGACAAAAACTAACTGATACAACTTCATGTAATTAGTGTATTAATTGCTCAAATGCAACTTAGAAATCCCAAACTGTAACCACATTACAACATTTAATCATTTACATCCCACAAGATCCATTTAACACTAGATAAGTAATATTATCTAAATTCTCAGAAAAGACAATGTTGCAACTCAAATGTATTTGCCCTCAATGCACTGATGAATATATGCACTGTTCAGATCGGGAATTTAATCGTAGAACAAACAACAAAGGGTCACAAAGGTCATCAAAGAAATCAACAAACAGCCTGTATTCATCAAGATTTCTTTTGATGTCAAGGGAACCATCAAACAGTGGTGCTTATAGAAATAAAAAAAAATCAAAAAGTAGAAGATGGAGCATACCAGAAGAGAATCAGAGAAATCAAAGTCACAAAATTTTTTGCTTCAAGTCACAGAAATTGCATCTTAGCAGAAATCATTGAACCCAGAAGGAGGGAAATCTTGAGAAATTGAAGGCGCTAAATGGGAAAGAGGTTGGCTCTAGGGCTGGCCGGTTAAGAAGCAATATAACCAAAGATTGTCTGGTGGTGCATTGATTGCTGTTCTCTTACCAAAAAAACAGAAATCTGAATGTATTGGCCCTTGATGGACGTTGTTTGCTGCTGCTAGAAGAAGCAAGAGGGTAAACTTGGGTGGTTCTGAATGAGACAGATGAAAACCTTCGTGTGGATGAATCTCACCATTAGTTTCCTTTACATTTTATCACATCAAGTGAATCGGGGCTGCATCTTCATTTCTTCAAACACCTTAACGAAGAGAGTAAACAATGGAGGGTTTCAAAAATCATCCCACGAAGGACTTAATTGCATGAAATGAAAAATGGTGGATGAAAGAAGCGATAAATTAGATTGTGAGTGTGGGAAGAGGGAGGCAATAGCCGCTGCTTGGTTGTGGAGAATGGAGATGAAAACTTGTGTTCATTTTCCTTTTCTTTTTTGCTTCCTTTAGAGTAAGTTACGGGTTTGGTCCCTCTAGTTTCATAATTATTATGAAATTGATCTCTAAACTTTCTTTATTACATAAACTTCCTAAATATTTGCATTTTTTTATTAAAATTGGTCCTAAACTCCATCCATTGCACATCACAGAGAGAGTATTTTTCTTCTTTTACAAAACAAAATATAAATGTTTAAGGTGCCTTTGTAACGAATAAAGTTTGTTGACCAACTTTGCAATTATGGCCAAACCACATGGACCAAATGCATGTTTTTCTACTCTTGGTGTCTTGTTATTTCTTTTTTCGACTAAAAGATTATAAACTTCTGATAGTTGCTTGATAGGTGTATACTAAACAACTTAAAAAATTATTTCTATCAAATTTATAACCCCACGATAGTTACCCGGTATGAATTTAGGAAGATTTTAGGGTGAGCGTTCATGGATATATTAAGACCCAAATAAATTTTGTTGGAAATACATGTATTTGGCTATAAGTTTATTATGACCTCAAAAAGATAAAGATGACAACATTTTGATTTGCAGTTTTCATACGATATAATTGTGAGTTTGCACGTAGTCAATTTGTCTGCAATGTCAACAAAATAATAATAATAACAAAGACGCTCTACGGTTTCTTTTTTCTTATAATAACTAAAAGCTGATCATATTATGATATACGGGAGGTCTTGTCAAGCATAGAAACTTCCAAGTAAATTTTTTATTTACTAAATCATTAATTATTGATCAAACACTTATAAAATATTTTAATAAAATCAAAATCACTACAAATGTACTTTAAATAATTGTTAACTGACAAATAGATTGAAATTATGTGAATGTTTTGAAGACATTTAAATCAAAACATGATTGTTTTTTTTTTTAAGTTGAGGAAGGACGATCTAAACAGCAATTATCATATTTTATTTACGTGAAGACGATTATAATTTTTGGTTAAAGTAATAGCATACACGGTTATTAATCGCTTAGTTTTCTTAACAATACAATATAGTATAAAATGGAATCAAGTTATAGGTTTTGACAGAGCCTCTCTTACAAAAGGTGTAATAAAGTTTTTTCCCATTGATTACTACAATTAGAAATTGATGATGATATTATGGTAAAAGGTTTAATGATGTAAGAAAGGACGGAGAAATGAGTAACATAAATGTGTAGACAGTGAAATACAATAATGCACAGAATGACGAGTTTCAGTTAATATCATCTACATCCATGGTGTGAGAAAAAACAATTTCAATATATATCAAAAGTTGAGTACAAAATGTGCACCCACAACATTATAAAATAACTATCAGCTCAAAATCCGATTATAATACAATTCTTTTGATACAGTCTAAATTTTATCAGTTTAAGGTCAAATACAAAGAGTTGCATTTACATGAGATCGGTCTATTTTCGTATGACCCATAAGGTCACAAAATAACATTGAAATTTCACAACAAAACATCGTAAATGTACTAACAACATTGAACATTTACAACAAAAAACATTGTGAATGTTACATTCACAGTGTTTTGTTGTGAAAGTTCAATATTATTTATATGGTCTTACAAAACACAGTATGGTTTCAGATGATCAGAAGAGCGAGCTTGAAACGTATAATGAATAGAGTTTGGGTTTTTAGGAGTTCAACTCAAAATTTTATTGAGCTTTTCGAGCCTTATTTATGCACTTTAGATGTATAATTTTTTAAACTTGAATCAAACACAATTTCGATAAATATATTCAAACTTATGAATTGAGCTTGTTTTATCCAGCATAGTTGTAGTTATTTTTTTAGGTATTTGAAATATGTAATTTTCCTCAAGATAAGCTTGAGCTTGTATCAAGAAGAATGATCAAAACGTCAAATCAAGTTTAGATTCAACACGAGCTGAACTCGCCTCATCGGCAAACCTAGTTTCGAACGGATCTCGTTTTTCGGGTTTCACTGAATATTATAAACGGTGGGTGTTTCGTTCGTGTTGAAACTACCTTGAAAAGGAGAAACTAAAAAAATAAAAGGAGGTTAAGTGTAAAAACAGAAAGATTGCGGTGCTGAGTGTCTTGTACGGAACCACTTGTATTTTCTTTTTTGAAGGCAAACAGCATCTTCCACGCCAGCGAAAATTGGAAATTGGGCGGTCATCCCATTGAAATTGAAACATATATAATATTACTCTTCATAACCCATAATTTTACATATTTGCCATCGTTATTTCATCGCTTGTGCAGTTATGCCCCTCCAACTTTATCATATTTTTCATTGCCATACCATAAGAATTTTATTTTATACTATTGGTTACAACCTGTAAAGTTTATTAATAAAAAATAAAAAATAAAAGTGATATTGCAAAGAGAAACATCTTTTTCATTTTGAAGTGATTAAATCTTTTATTTTGAAGAGATAAACTATTAAATTTCCACATTAAGTTTTTAAATCTACCTGTAATGTAACTGGTTAAAAATGTTTTAAAGTTAAAAACCCTAAATGTGATTTAAGGTTTACAAATCCTACAAGCATTCAAATCCCTCCTCTCACCACCCCATTGTTACCGTTAATATTCATTTTTTTCATCTGTTTTTTTTTTTTTTATCTTTTGATTCCACGTCTTATCGAATAATTTAATGAATTATGTATAGAAAAAAAAAGAAAAAAAGAGGGAGATTGATGACAAAATCCAACGAAAATGATGGATGAAGATGGGGAATAGTAACTGAGTTCCAAAAAATTGATTATTTATTTATTATAAAAATATTCAAGGATTTAATTATTTATCTAAAATGGAAAAATAATAAAAAAAGATATATGTTTGAAATTGAAGTTTTTGAAAAATTTCATCCTCGCAAGAGGAGGAGGGTAAATGGTAAATAAAAAGGAAAGAGAGACCCAAATAGTAATAGTATAATCCTAAAATGGCTGAATGATGTCTGATTTTGAGTCGCCTTGTATTGTATGTGTGTGGAGTGGACTCCCATAACACGCCGCTCGAGCTTGACCAGCAGACAGACAGACAGATAAATCTAGAGAGAGAAACTGTTAGAGCGAGAGACCAAGAAAACCCCACAAATCACATTGCTTTGCTGTGTGTACAATATACATACATACATACCCAACAAATATATATAAACATATACATACAAAATTCTTACCTCATTTCTGAGATAGAGAGACATATTCCAAAAAGTTCTCTTCTTTGCATCATCTTTCTGAAATAATCTTGGGTTTTCCCTTTCTTTATCTTCATCTTATTATTACCGATCTGAGTCACACCGAGTCGCTTGTGGTTTCTCTGACTCGTTCTCCTTTTTCTTGATGAGAAGGAGATCGATTGGGCTTACGACACATCCTTAATGGTATGTTTATTTTTGTTTTTTCTCAACTAGCTCCATGATTATTGCCCATTTTTGCTTGATTCTTTGTTTCTTTTCGAAGTCAAATCTATTCAACCAAGTGTCCACTTGTTTGAATCTTTGTTTTCCTTCATCGCCAGTTGTTGATGCTAGCAGGTTTCCTCTAAAATTAAGTTGGGGGATAATGTTTTTCTGTGATTATTTCGGTTTTCAAGAACAAATCTTACCATGTATATTTGTATTATCTATTTGCGTTATGAGAAGTAATCAATTTAATGCAATATGAATCGTTATTTATTTAGATAGTGTTTTCGAAACAAAATTGTATCTCAATTAGTTCAAATTTTGTACTGATTTGCTCAGATTCACGAACATATGCGAGTTAAAATTATTTGATGTTATCTGTAGGTGGCGTTTCTAGAGATTAGATTGAGGGGCTAATTTAGCAGAATCTCTGAGATACCAAACTAGCAAACTTGATAAATTTGCTATTAAGCCAGTCTAGGGTTTTTGTAGCTCAAGAACATTGCTAACTATTGATGTTCTGTTTTGGGATAAGTTTCATTGGCTAGCTAAGTGTGGACATAGGTTAATATGCTTTTGGAAAATGTAAACACTCTATTCGTATTGATTACCATTACCTTCCCAAATAATTAACATGCATGTCGTTTGCAAGGGTGGCATCTAATTTGGTTGGTGTACAAGAGTATAATAATGCTCCTTGTTCGTTATTGATTTGGTTGGTTTCTTCTCCTTGCTTCAATGAAGCATTCCAATCTTGAATTTGAGTGTTATGAAATGACAAATGGAGGCAAGCTTTGGAAACTGGTAGGGTTGCTCCTTTATGAATGGAACTCATGGGATACTAATTGTGGAAATGTCTTTACAAAATAAAAAGGGGGAAGTGTGGGTACAAAGATTACCCTCCCTAACTCTTGCAAAGCTGAGAGACTTAGTGAACTGGATCACCCTTTTAAGAAATCCTAAATACCAACATGAGTTACAAGCACTGATATTAGGATAATGCCATCATGGTCAATGGATGCAAAAGACTCTAAGACACAACATACACAAGGGTGGACTGTAATACCATTGAACTCCTTGACATAATACTATTCCTCCATCCCATCATGTTCTTCTTTTTTTAAATTTTGAGTGTCAATTGAGTTGCTTTTTTATTCAAAATGATTAATATGATTAATGTGTATAGCTCAAATAGGGACCAAGACTAGGTGTACCACCTTAAATTTCTAAAACCTCCCTATTTATCCTCTTTATGTGTCTGATAGAATGAAGTGCTTGTAGGTGGCACCAGTCAATATTACTGTAAATGATTCCTATGTAGCTCTATGTGACGATTAACATGTTTCATCACTTCGTCTATATAGCATATATAGCCCCAAAGGGCGGCTAACTTGGCAAAATGACTTGGGTAGCTTCACCATAGAATAGGAGACCCAAGTTTGATCCCCTTTAATGTTAATGCTGTCATCTCTTGTTCCGGGTCATGTCAATTTCCCATAAGGAAGAGCTTTGCCCCATTCAAGTGTATGTGGTGATGGACTTGGAACCCGTGGTAGTTGGCCAAAGCTCGGATACCACGGTTACCAATAAATGTCATATACATGTATAGAATTTGACAACTAGTGTACTATATGATTATATTATATTCAATTTCTAGAACCTTTCTTTTAATTTATTTTCGCCTCTAATGCAATAAAGTACTTGCAGGCGGCACCGGTTAATATTATTGTAGGTTCACATGTCTGGGTTGAAGATCCTTCTTTAGCATGGATTGATGGGGAAGTGACCCGAATTAATGGACAAGAGCTTCATGTACATGCGACAAATGGGAAGAAGGTGAGTGTTTAGTGGTAGAATATATTAGATGGTATATATCTATGTATCAGGTTAGCATTCCATTCTGCAGCAACTAGTAAATATTAGATAGTATATATCTATGTATCAGGTTAGCATTCCATCCTGCAGCAACTAGTAAAGTTACTCCTTTTGGACCAAATTGACTTGGTTTTGAATTGTGAGAACCACCCCTTTGCAAAACTGCAAGGAAATTGCTGCTTACAGGAACTTCCGTTCCTGACCCTGCCAAAGAGCTTCAGTGCGCCTGGTTTATCTTTAACTGGTCTATGATTCCATTCAAGATACCTATACTGTTTGTTCAAGACAGACTTACAAATATATTTCTTGATCAAATTTTCATTTACTAGCATATGCTATGACAATACTACATTAAGAACAGGTTTTTTTTTTCTTTTTTTTTTTTGTATATTAGTGAAACTTGAAGTTCATCATTTATTTCAACTTTTTGGAGATGAGAGGTTATATTGACGTACCTTCTAGACATGGTGGCCAGTTCCTACTGTTATTATGGAAAACCTTCTAAGATCCTTGTAATTGTTTTTGTATCTAATAAAAGAAGATAAAAAGAACTTGGGTACAAAACAAGTGCACCAATAATGAAGCGATAGGAAATTTGTCCAAGGGTAAAGACATCAGCATCACTGGAGAATAGCTTTAGTCCCGATAAAGAACATAAATAGAGCCTCACATATTGTTATCTCATATTGCCCAATTCTTTTAGCATGCCAGAATAAGCTAAATTCATAGTGAAAATAAGTAGTAATACCATAAGTTACATATTAGCATATGTCCTCAAAAGATTGTGATGTACACAAACTAATATGCAATTTTTATAATGCTATCTTCAATCATTCAATCGGGTTTTACATGATTACCTCCTAATAGTCAAACTCTCTGCTTGGAACTGAACCACCGATCAATCCAATGAATGGAAGTTCCTTGTCTAGATCTCTCTCTCATGAAAATGGCATGAGTTGGAAACAAAAGAGGGGCCAGTCAAGCTTTAAAAGGATAAGGTGAAGCAATAACTTTGGTTAGTTTATAGAAATAATCTTAACCCAGCATCTCAAAAAACATAAACGATAATCCTCGACATTTGTTTCTTAAGGACCAAGATTGCTGAGAATACAATTCAGATTACCATGGTATCTAAGCTCTCACTTCTTGTAGCCGTTTTTGATGTAACATATTTTTCTGGGCTGAATTGTTGTTTGAAATTTGATAGTTGATTGCTGATAATACAATCATATTACTTGCTAACTAACTCTTAAATCTTGTAACTGTTTTTGGTATAAGTGCTGTTCAGAGTAAAAGGATTCGAACCTTTGCATGCCGGTATTAAGAACCTTTGCATGCCGGTACTAAGAACCTATGCTTTACCAGATGGCGACTGATACTTCTTCAAACTTGATAGCTCTCAAAGAGGCTCATATTTATTATAGAATGATTGTTGACTTGCTTATTTCAGTTCTGCCTGTCTGCATCTGAGGTTAGGTTATTTGACTGCAGATTGTTACAAACGTCTCTAAAGTGTTCCCTAAGGATACTGAAGCTCCTCCCGGAGGTGTAGATGACATGACACGACTTTCATATTTGCATGAACCAGGAGTGTTACAAAATTTGGCAGCCAGATATGAACTTAATGAGATTTATGTGAGATGTCATTTCATCTTTCATAGAAGTTAAAAGTTATATTGGAAGACAGAACTAACGGATTGCTGATAATAAATTTCTTCTTATCCCTTTTGTAGACGTATACTGGAAATATTTTAATTGCTATAAATCCATTTCAAAGATTGCCTCATCTGTATGACACCCACATGATGGAACAATATAAAGGAGCAGGATTTGGAGAACTTAGTCCCCATGTTTTTGCCGTCGCAGATGTTGCATACAGGTATTATAAACATTACTATTTTGGGAGGGTTATCTTTTGGAGGATGTTTTCTTTTTGTAACTTAGTTTACTCTCGGTTCTTTTAGCTTTTTGGATCAGCTAATTTAGTTACGTTGTAAATAGGGCGATGATGAATGAAGGAAAAAGCAATTCAATCTTGGTCAGTGGAGAAAGTGGTGCCGGTAAAACTGAAACAACAAAGATGCTCATGAGATATCTTGCACATTTAGGTGGTCGATCTGGAGTGGAAGGACGGACAGTTGAACAGCAAGTCCTGGAAGTAAGACTGGATTTTACTTTGTTGTCACTGACATCTCAAGTCTAGTTCTGAAAATGTTATAAACAAATGTGTATTTTGCAGTCAAATCCAGTACTAGAAGCATTTGGCAACGCAAAAACTGTCAGGAACAACAACTCGAGGTACATGATTGCTCTGGAACCTCCAAATTTCTGAAAGTAATGCTTCTCTGTAACGTTGTTATACTTTTAATCTCTTCTCTAGAAACTGACTAACTATCACTATGTTGATAATGGCATGTCAACGTAGTCGTTTTGGTAAATTTGTTGAGATACAGTTTGATAAGAGTGGGAGGATATCTGGGGCAGCTATCAGGACTTACCTGCTTGAGAGGTCCCGTGTTTGCCAGATATCTGATCCTGAAAGAAATTATCATTGCTTTTATCTTCTTTGTGCTGCACCACCGGAGGTATATAAGCTCTTATTATTCTGGTTCTTTCAGTTTTACCTTGATTAATCTTGTATGGTAACTGTCAAATACTGGATACTTACTAGAGCATTTTCTCATTCATTTGCAGGACAGAGAGAAGTTTAAATTGGAAAGTCCACAGTCATACCATTACTTGAATCAGTCAAAATCTTATGAGCTTGAGGGTGTAAGTGATGCTCATGAGTATCTTGCTACCAGAAGGGCAATGGACATTGTTGGAATCAGTGAAGAAGAACAGGTCGGTGTTTTAAGAGGTTCTATATATCTTACTGTTATTTTTGGGTTTCTTACATTTGCAGAGATCCGTTCAGGATGCAATTTTTAGGGTTGTGGCTGCAATTCTTCATCTTGGTAATGTTGAGTTTGCAAAGGGAGAGGAGATTGACTCTTCGGTGCTTAAAGATGAGAAATCTCGGCATCATCTGAATGTGACGGCTGAGTTGCTTATGTAGGTTTAATTTTTGTCTTTTAAATATTCTGATTGATGTTTTTTTTGCAATGTTAAATTCGATAAACCATCATTTCCAAACAGGTGTGATGCTAAGAGCTTAGAGGACGCGCTGATCAAGCGTGTAATGGTGACACCGGAGGAAATAATCACAAGAACTCTTGATCCTGAAGCTGCATTGGGTAGTAGGGATGCTTTAGCTAAGACCGTCTACTCTCGCTTGTTTGACTGGTGAGAAAAACTAAGACCATTGTCGAAATATGTTGGCATAATACATGAATTTCTCATTTATCTTTTAAGAATCTAATTTATAGCTCCGTCATCTGCATTTTTTTAGGATTGTGGAGAAAATAAACAATTCCATTGGGCAGGATCCAAATTCAAAATCATTAATTGGTGTCCTTGATATATATGGGTTTGAGAGTTTTAAGCACAACAGGTAGTGTACTAGAATCCGTCCCGTTTAATGCATTAATTCGAATTCCATAATGCTGATGAAAGGTTTGCTTTAAACAGTTTTGAGCAGTTCTGCATCAACTTCACAAATGAAAAACTGCAACAGCATTTTAACCAGGTTAGGTTGAATTCGTGAATCATCTTTCAAACGAGTGAATTACCTAATACGAAATTTATGTGCTGACTTTTTGTCAAATTCTTCGCTGCAGCATGTGTTTAAAATGGAACAAGAAGAGTACACAAAGGAAGCAATAAATTGGAGCTATATAGAATTTGTTGACAACCAAGATGTTTTGGATCTTATTGAGAAGGTGTTGACTAATCTGTGAAATATTGTCGATCCATACTTCAATTTTTGTAATGGAAACTAATACAGTTGATTGCAGAAACCTGGAGGAATCATCTCGCTTCTGGATGAAGCCTGGTATGAGCCTATTCCAAATTTCTTATTATTTTCATTTATAAATCATAGGTTCTATATAGCATATAGGACTGCAGTGGCTATAAATGACTAAGGCTGTTTGGTTGGTTTTGCCATTAAGTCTGTGGATTAATCTGTCTGTATAGATTGGGAAATTTTTTGTTTCGGAGGGTTTTTCATAAATGGAAGGAACATTTGCATTTTAACTGGGAGGGGCAGTTTGGAAAAAAACTTGGCTTCCTGCATAAAGCTCTCCCTCGAAGCTTTCTGAGTAAACCACTTTCTATATCATTAAGCTACTACCAAACAGTTACGTGTAGCTGACCAAATAAGCTGCGAGTCCCATTAAGCTGCTAAGAAACAGGCCCTAAGTATACTCCATGTGTGTCTTTATATGTTCCTAGACCCCTCCGCATTTCTATTATGAGAAGATTTTATGTTTGTAAACTACTTGATGCAGCATGTTTCCGAAGTCTACTCATGAAACTTTTGCTCAGAAGCTGTACCAGACATTTCCAAAAAACAAACGCTTCATCAAACCGAAGCTTTCTCGCACTAGTTTTACAATAGCTCATTATGCAGGGGAGGTAAAGTTGTACTAATATGCTAATGTGTAAAATGTTTGCTTCCTTTCCTTGCTTTTTTGGCTGATCATTATGCAGGGAAGGTAAAGATGTACTGAAATGCATGCTTTCCCTATACTGCAGGTGAATTATTTGGCTGATCAGTTTCTAGACAAAAACAAGGATTATGTGGTGGCAGAACATCAAGATTTATTAACTGCCTCAAAATGCTCCTTTGTTGTTGGTTTATTTCCTCCACTTCCTGTAGAGTCATCCAAGTCTTCCAAATTTTCCTCCATTGGTTCGCGTTTTAAGGTATTAGTATTATTTCTGGCCTCCCATCTATCTTTATGTAAATGGAACACTTACATGATTACATCTGCCAAGTCAAATGTTGCAATTTTATGGGACAGAGAGAATAATATATATTCTATATTTAGTTATCAGTTTTGTCAACCATGATATATATTGATCTATATCCTGGTAATGTACATGGAGGTGATGATTTTTTCAGAACACCAGTTGGCAATTTTGCGTATTTTCAGCAATTTGATGTAAAAGAATTTAGAAATAAGAGAGAGAGAGAGAGAGAGAAGACAAGACCGAACTGAATGGCTTGAGAGAACTGCTGGGTATTTGTGCTAATCATATAAACGTCTAAATGGAACAACTTTTTGATTTGCTTGGTCATAGCATAATGAGATCTCCCTATTTAGATCCCCTAATTACAATTATACTCCCCCGTCCCAAAATAATATGTCCACAATAAAAAAAGCACACAATTTTAGGAATATGTAATTATTACACTTATTAATTAACTAAGGGATCCTTTTACCCTTGATAATAAGAAGAAATAACTAAGGGTAAAATGGGAAAGTAGACACTTATTCTGGGACAAACTAAAATAGATATGTGGAAACTTATATTGGGACGGAGGGAGTAGCAATGATTATAGTGCTCGCTTGTTACAAATATATTCAATATGAGACGTCTCAAGGGATTTAGTGAAAATGTCTGCCCTTTGGTCATTTGGAACCCATAGAGTGGGTAGCTATGCATCCTGATTCAATCTTTTGTCTGAAAAATGGCAAGTGATATGTATGTTTTCTTCTCTAATGAAAGACTGGATTTTGATGCAATATGTACTGCTGCTTGGTTATCGCAAGTTACAACTCAATCTCATTTGGCTGACTTCTCCAAACCTTGGTTCTTGAAGCAACTGTTTCAACCAGATTAATTCAAAATACTATGTTTCTGCACTAGATCTTGCAACAACTTAATCATCTAGAAATATTCTGATGAAAGATGAATTTGTCTATGAATTGCAGCTACAACTTCAATCTTTAATGGAAACCTTGAGTACAACAGAACCTCACTACATCAGATGTGTGAAGCCGAATAATGTTCTCAAGCCTGCTATTTTTGAGAACCTAAACATCATCCAGCAATTAAGATGTGGTGTAAGTATTTGGAAGACCCTGGATTTCTTATGTGCTCAAATTTTCAAGTAACCCGGAAGTAGTATCTAGGGTTCTGTTTCTCTGTATTTCTCAATTTCTACCTTGTAATATAGGGTGTTCTGGAGGCAATCAGGATCAGTTGTGCTGGTTATCCAACCAGGCGGACATTTGATGAGTTTCTTCTTCGTTTTGGTGTTCTTTATCCTGATGTTCTAGATGGAAAGTATGGTTCAAATTCTTTGTTTCTTATTGCCATGAATCCTCCTAATTCTTTCATTTCCTTTGTGTGTTGTTCTCCATTATAGTTTTCCAATAATGTCTTTTCATGTAGCTATGATGAGAAGGTTGCATGCCAGATGCTGTTAGATAAGATGGGGTTGAAAGGCTACCAGGTAAGCTTTCATCTTTATATTATTATTTTTATTATTCTACTCATGTTACAATGATCAATGGGCTATGAAGCATTTGTAAGATGTAAGCTTCCAGACACCAAGGTTACTGATTGTAACTACCTTTACAGATTGGTAAGACAAAAGTGTTCCTACGAGCTGGTCAAATGGCAGAACTAGATGCAAGGAGGGCGGAGGTTCTTGGAAATGCAGCTAAAATAATTCAAAGGCAAATGCGTACTTATATTGCACGCAAAGAGTATATCTTGATACGCAGAGCTGCTATCCAGTTGCAGGCTTGCTGGCGAGGTATTTCTAGCAATTCTTTGTAATATTAGCTTACTTTTATGACATTTATGTCACTGTTTGAATTTATTTTCCACACCTCTCTGTATTTCTCAACTCAGACTTGACCACTTTTTCCGTAAGTTTTATTAGAGTTCGACTCTTTTCTCTGTTGTTTGATCAGGTCTATCAGCTTGCAAGCAATTTGAGCAGTTGCGAAGAGAAGCAGCGGCAGTCAAGATTCAGAAGTACTTCCGGTGTTTTGTTGCTAGCAAATCCTATCTAACACTCAGGATGTCTGCAATCACACTTCAGACAGGTTTGAGAGCAATGACTGCTCGAGATGAATTCAGACACCGAAAGCAAACCAAAGCTGCAATTTCTATACAGGTTCCACAAACGCATTTACTTTGAGCACCTCGAATAAATTAATTCTGTTAGATGTATAGATTGTAAATCACTTTTGTGGTGGCGTGCAGGCTCACTACCGTTGCTACAGAGAATATTCTTACTACAAGAGTCTTCAGAAGGCTGCAATTGTTACTCAGTGTGGTTGGAGACGAAGAGTTGCTAGGAAAGAGCTTCGGGAGCTCAAAATGGTATCTCAAGCTTTAATGAGGACCTTATATGTTGCCTGGTATATAAATAATCTTTTAGAGTTGGTGACCAATTATTTGTAACTGTTCAGGCTGCAAGGGAGACGGGGGCGCTCAAAGAGGCAAAAGACAAACTAGAAAAGCGTGTCGAAGAACTTACATGGCGTTTGCAGTTGGAGAAGCGATTAAGGGTAATTTTACTTGACTGTCCTTGGCTTCAAAATTGAATGATTTTCTTATCACGGCTCTGATTAACTCTTCCACAGACCGAGTTAGAAGAGACAAAATCCCAAGAAACTGCAAAGTTGCAAGATGCTCTACGTTTGATGCAAATCCAAATTGATGAAGCAAATGCTAAAGTAATTAAAGAGCGTGAGGCAGCACAGAAAGCTATTGAGGAAGCTCCTCCAGTGGTTAAGGAGACCCCCGTCATAATTCAAGACACAGAAAAGGTCGACACCTTGACAGCTGAGGTAGAAAGTTTGAAGGTAGGCACTTTGAAAAAGTCTTGCTTCTCTGAACCAAGTGTTATTGGGGGAAATCTTTTTAAACATTTGTCATTGTTTTCTTCTTTGTATGTTAAGAAGACGGCGATGTTTCTTAGGAGAATGTCATGCTGACAAGTGTCAAAATTAGATGGAATAAATGACAATTGATTCAGTGGCAGTGGAATTGAATTAAACTGGGGTATGGTGGCTTACTTAATCTGTAACTTTGCGCAGGCTATGCTGCAAAATGTAAAACAGGAGGCAGAAGAGGCTAGAAAGTCTTTGATAGAAGCTGATGCTAGAAATGCTGATCTAATGAAAAAATTTGAAGAAGCTGAGAAAAGAGCAGATCAGCTTCAAGAATCTAGTCAAAGGTTTGTGGTAGAATAGTAAAAATTTGAAATCTTTGGTTGATCTTTTATGTTAGCGGCTTAGCGCATTCATAAAAAATGTTTGATTAATTATAGTACATGTGTATAATGCCCCATTCATACTGATTGGTTTGTGACTTTGTTATGATGAAGTGTTACAACTATCTTTTTTTGATCATGTAGGCTTGAAGAAAAGCTCTCCAATATGGAGTCCGAGAATCAAGTACTTCGCCAGCAAGCACTGACCATGTCACCTACCGGAAAGTCGATATCTGCACGGCCAAGAACAATGATTATTCAGGTACCTCATTAAAGGAATTTGAACTTTAGTTAGTCTTGTTGCTCGTGGATAGGCGTTTTATTAGTTTGTTTTGGTGAATCTACAGAGAACTCCAGAGAATGGGAACGTTCAGAATGGAGAATCAAGACATACACCTGTAAGAATACTTAATTTGCTTGGATAGACTCCATAAGATAGGTCAAGAATCTGAAATTGAGTATTGCTTATGCTATGTCATGTGGTTCAGGAGACGACACATGCTTTATCAAATTCGAGAGAGCCTGAATCTGAAGAGAAACCACAAAAATCCCTTAATGAGAAGCAACAAGTAAGTGACCATGAGCTTAATTTGTTGTTAAAATGTTTAAAATGATGGTTGTGTTCAGCCGATTGATACTCTTTTAATATTGAAAGTGTAAGGTCTTCTCATAATCTTTTCTAATTTGTTCACTGATGTTCCTCTTCAGGAGAACCAGGATCTACTTATCAAGTGTATCACACAAGATCTAGGATTCTCTAGTGGAAAACCAGTTGCTGCTTGTCTGATATACAAAAGCCTTCTCCATTGGAGGTCGTTTGAAGTTGAAAGAACCACCGTGTTTGACCGGATAATCCAAACCATTGCTTCAGCTATAGAGGTGACTACCGTAGATATTTCCTTGTTCATATTATTTATTTACGCTTCTTTTTTATGGATTATTTCAAGCAAGTCCCAAGAAGTCACAAGCTATAGGACTGATTTTGAACTTTGTGTGATGAAGGTCCAGGACAGTAACGATGTGTTAGGCTATTGGTTATGTAATACATCCACTTTGCTGACACTACTTCAACACACCCTTAAAGCAAGTGGAGCAGCTAGTATGACTCCTCAACGGAGGAGGTCATCGTCAGCCTCTCTTTTCGGAAGGATGTCTCAAGTATGACCATCATATATAGCATCACTTTTAGTGTGATTAACAATATTTCTTCGTTCTTAGTTTGTTTCTCCTTCAATACAGTATTAAGCCTTAATAATAATACTTCAGGGGTTACGAGCATCTCCTCAGAGTGCTGGGCTTTCTTTTCTTAATGGTCGAGTGCTTGGTAGACTTGATGATTTACGTCAAGTAGAGGCCAAATATCCAGCTTTGTTGTTCAAACAGCAACTTACTGCATTTCTTGAGAAGATATATGGGATGATACGAGATAATCTAAAGAAAGAGATCTCTCCACTGCTTGGATTATGCATTCAGGTAATTTAGCTTTGTGGTCTAAAATAACTTTTTTTTGTATGATTACGGGTATAAAGTATGCAGCCTACTTGATGCAGGCACCCAGGACATCTCGTGCAAGTTTAGTTAAAGGGCGGTCCCAAGCTAATGCTGTTGCTCAACAAGCATTGATTGCTCATTGGCAAAGCATTGTCAGAAGCCTAGATAATTACTTGAAGACGATGAAGGCAAACTACGTGAGTATTAAACCCTACAGCAGCATTACCGATTCTCCTTTATACTTGGAACATTTTTTTCATCTTCTGTTTTCTGGCTTTACAGGTTCCCCCATTTTTGGTGCGCAAAGTATTCACACAGATATTCTCATTTATCAATGTTCAGCTATTTAACAGGTAAATTGCATACTCTTTTTGTGAAAACAGTCGATTATCAATCATCAAATGCTCTAATCTATATCCTTGCTGACCTTTTTTTTTTATGGAAGTCTTCTGTTGCGACGCGAGTGCTGCTCATTCAGTAATGGAGAATATGTGAAGTCGGGGTTGGCTGAACTAGAGCAATGGTGTGTTTATGCAACTGAGGAAGTAAGCATTAGCCTGAATGGAACTTGGAAGTTTCTGAAGTTGTCTTAATCTTTTCTTCTAACATTTATCACTTTCCAGTATGCAGGCTCCGCTTGGGATGAGTTGAAGCATATTAGACAGGCAGTTGGATTCTTGGTTAGTTTTGCTTTCTTGGCCTCTTACGCTTTCCACAAACTATTTATATTGATCATATTTTCTCTTTGTTGCACTCGGTCAGGTTATCCATCAAAAGCCTAAGAAGACTTTGAATGAAATAACCAATGAACTTTGTCCTGTAAGTAGATGTAAAATTCAAAATTTCAAGTAACCAAATAACTTTTCTCTCTTTTGTTATGTTCAAGAGCTTATATGTACTATGTGCAGGTGCTTAGCATCCAGCAACTATACAGAATTAGCACGATGTATTGGGATGACAAGTACGGTACACACAGTGTTTCTTCAGATGTAAGTTACTTTAGACCACAAATTTGGTCCTGCATATCCCTGTTTTTCATTTTATATTCTTGGTTTTGAAACTTATCGTCATTCCAACATTCTTCTAAGGGTTTTTTTGTACTTAGGTCATTTCAAATATGAGAGTTATGATGACAGAGGACTCAAACAATTCTGTCAGCAGTTCATTTTTGTTAGATGACGACTCCAGGTAAATTCCAATTCCAATGGATACTGTATTGCAGAAAAGAATGGTTGAAACTTGTTATGTTGATTGTGGCTGATATTTGGATGTATTGCAGCATTCCGTTCTCTGTGGATGACATCTCCAAGTCTATGCCACAAATAGAGATAGGGGAAATCGAACCTCCACCATTGATTCGGGAAAACTCAGGTTTTGTATTTTTACATCAGCGGACGGAGTGATGGATGAAAGAAGCGCGATCCCTTTGATGTCATGGCTGCATACCTCAATGCAGAAACCTGTGAATACAGTCTTTTTTTTGGGTTCATTTGGGTGTGCTATACTGTTTTCTTGGTTATTTTCCCAGGCAGTTTGGGTTTTTATTAGTGTCTGGGTCCAGTTCCAATTTATTTTGCATCCTTTTTAAGCCTTTGGTTGGGTTGGAAAGGGTTTTTTTTTTTTAATTTTAATTCTTTAGATATGGCAAGATTGCCAAGTGTGATGGTTTGTATGGGAATGGGAGGGGTGGAAGTTAGTTATAGTTGCAAATTGTTAGGTTACAATTTGTGGTAGTGTCAAGAAAAGTGTATAGCAGCAAGTATTACTCTGTATATGACACCTTCCCTTCCCTTTATTTTATTTTATTTGATGATGGGTAAAAATGTATGTGTTGAATTCATTTTTTATTTATGAGACTCGACCCATTTCCTTGACAAGAAAGATGTGTTTGTGTTAAAAAAAAAAAGAACACAACTTTTCTTTATTATGTTGTTTATTAAATACATTCTTTATATTATAGCAACGATCAATCATTGTATTATCAAAGTTCTGTAATTGATCACATGGATAAATCTCTAAAATGGAAAATTTGTTGGAGTTGATTGTAATTTATTTTACTTTTGGTTTTATATTGTGTTTTTTGTTATGGATAGGTGTATAAATCAAAATGTTCCTAGACATGTTTGCTAGTAGCTTAATGAGATTCACAACTTATTCGGTTGTTGACTGATAGTGATTTAATGGTATAGAAAGTGATTTATTTGGTATGGGAAGCGAAATCAAATTTTCTTTTTCAAACCTACCCCTCCCAATTAAAAATATATTTCTTTCATCTATAAGAGAATCCTCTTAATCTACACAAAAATATTAATATATATAAACAAACCTTTATCCATATAAAAAATAATTGAAAAGTAAGGAATAGTTTGGTTTCATTGGTCATCTGATACCTACTACATGCATACATACATAACTTTATATGTTGTTCAAAATTCAAATTTCAGTTTGACGGCAAAGTGGGGCTCATAATTTGAAATTACAACTTGAAAATATGTCAATTGTTGCTAAAAGACCTTCCTTGTACAACTTACTTGTTTATTGACAAGTAAGTTGAATAAGTCATAGTTGTAGTTTTAAAGGTGTTCATAACTGAAACTACAAAAGATATCATTCATCGGATTGGTACATCTGAGTTGGACACTTCCATGCATTATTTAATTAATACATACAAGATTTCTAATGACAGGACATGAGAGGAGTTATGGTATATTTGTTGTCTTGTCTACCTACATCCAAACAATGAGGGCGTTTAGGAAGGTTTGTAAAATGACAAGGGGCCAATCTGTAATATACCAAATGATGAGGGGGCAGCCATTTCGGACATGTTTCAACTCTCAACAAAACGAAGGAAGGATTAAAGGAAGGGGGTCAACTCCAGAGACAGAGAGAGAGAGAGAGAGAGAGAGAGAGAGATCAGGCGATAGGATTAGCGTTACAGAGATTGGTAACTGTACCTGCAAGACATTCCATTTTCTTACTCACACACGCAATCCCAATCATCTTCAAAGGAATTACTCTAGGGTTTTTATCTCATCGGATTCATCAAGGCAAGTCTCTTAACCTCGCTTTTCTATTTCGATAACTATTACATACCCATCATGCTTAAATTTTTACTTGTCTGTTGGATATTATTACCCTTCAATCCAGTTTTGTTGAATTACAATTCCACAATCTTTTTTATGAACTCGGTTGCCTTTGTAGTTTTTGATTCTCTCTCATGAATTCGGTTTTCGAAATTTGAATTGGTCTTCTGTTAGTTGGATAGTTCAAATTTAAAGCTTCAAAAAGTTTCTTCAAGTGGATTGTTTTGAGTTTGCGGTTGGTAGGGTTTATAAATTTGGGGTTGTCGAAAAGGTTTATATTTACGTTCTCGCTATATTGTTTAGGCTGTCAAGACGATGTCAAGATACGAGATCAAGAAGACAAGTGGTCAGGATTCTCGGCATGGAGCATTTTTGAATGATATAAGTGACTTGAGTAAAGCTATGTATGAAGATAAAACACATTCCAGGGGGGTGAATTCTACAGCCAGTAGTCGATCAAAATCCATTGTAAGGCCTCAACTACCTGAAACCAAGTCAAAAGCCAAAGCGAATGAAGATCGATTTTTGAAGGACAAGAAATCCATTTGGAGTTGGAATACCTTGAAATCGTTTACTCATGTCCGCAACAAGAGATTCAACTGTTGTTTCTCTCTTCAAGTCCATTCAATTGAAGGGCTGCCTCCAAGTTTTGATGATCTTACACTATGTGTCAAGTGGAAGAGACGGGATGGTGAGTTGAGCACTCGTCCTGCTCCAGTTCTGCATGGTGTAGCTGAATTTGAGCAACTTTTGACAAACACTTGCTCGGTCTATGGTAGCAGGAGTGGGCCTCATCACTCGGCTAAGTATGAGGCAAAACACTTTTTGTTGTATGCATCCGTGTTCGGCGACCCTGAGCTTGACTTGGGAAAACATAGGGTTGACCTTACTAGATTACTCCCTCTTACATTGGAGGAGTTAGAGGATGAGAAAAGCTCAGGAAAGTGGACTACTACCTACAGGTTATCAGGCAAGGCCAAAGGTGCAAGTATAAATGTCAGCTTTGGGTATTCAGTAGTGGGCAATAGTCCGAGTGAACCTACTAGGCACAACAGTATCGGGATAGTGAAATCTCCCGGTAAGGCATCTGGTCAAAGTCAAATTCACCGACGTGAAAGTCTTCCTCTTATATCTAGTTCCCTGAGGCATTCTGTAGAAGATATAAAAGATCTTCATGAGGTTTTGCCAATATCAAAGCCAGAACTTTCTGAATCAGTGACTATACTGTATAAGAAATTCGAAGAAGAGAAATCAATTATATCTGTTGACTATGGAACCCAACGGGATGTTCAAGTTGTACCTTTTGAACCCTCTAATGCAGACTCAGAATCTCCTGGTCCTGATAGAAGTAATATTGTAAGTGAGTTTTCTGTCTTAGACCAGGGAATAGAATTTCCCATGGAAGAAGAGCTAAAAGCAGAACAGGATAAGAGGGATCGTGAAGAAGGAATTTTCAATGGTTTTGATTGTTCAGATAGGCCAAATCTGCACCCTGAATCTTTGCTGGAAAAAAAATCTGAAAGCCAAAAAGAAGAGTGCGTGGTAACTGAAAGCAATACCACGGAGCAACACTTTGATGACAAAGAGTCACTCCTGAAAGAATTGGAGTCGGCCTTGAACAGTGTGGCAGACATGGTGAAAGAAGATTCTGATTCTCAAGAAGAAACCGAATATCTGAAAGAACACGGGGGAGGGAAGGAAATTGACAGTGTCGTATGCAGCAGAGAAGCAGGTTTTGGATACGAAGAAAGTGAGAACTTGGACCAAGAAACATATATGGAGCTCAAAATCGGTTATAAAGAGAAAGGGAAGTCGCTCAAGTTGGATTATGCTACAGAGGCTGTGGCTGATGATTTCCTAAACATGCTTGGGATAGAGCACAGTCCCTTCAGCATGAGTTCTGAAAGCGAGTCTAACTCTCCACGGGAGCGTTTGCTAAGGAAATTTGAGAAGGATTCCCTGGCCAATGGTTCTTCCTTATTTAACTTTAATGTTGATGATGATGAAGCAGGGTTCGGTGATGACTCTCCATCTGCTTCATTGTGGGGCCCCATACCTGAAGAATTCAACACCTCATCGATGTTGCATGCTTCTGAAGATATGCTTAAGTCGGGAATCCAGGAAGCACAGAACAAGACAAAGGCATCCGTCTTGGAAGACTTGGAGACAGAAGCTTTGATGCGTGAGTGGGGTCTAAACGAGAAGGTTTTTCAGCGGTCCCCATCCAATACCGCGGGTGGATTGGGCAGTCCAGTTGGCCTCTCTCCTGAAGAACCACTTGAGCTTCCACCACTTGGAGAAGGCCTAGGGCCATTTGTTCAGACCAGTAATGGAGGGTTCTTGCGCTCTATGGACCCTGAGATTTTCAGGAATGCTAAAAGTGGAGGGAATTTGATTATGCAGGTTTCTAGTCCGGTTGTTTTACCTGCAGAAATGGGTTCTGGCATCATGGATGTATTACAATGTTTGGCTTCAGTTGGTATTGAAAAGCTTTCAATGCAGGCAAATAAGCTGATGCCTTTGGAAGATATATCTGGAAAGACCATGCAACAAATAGCTTGGGAAGCCACACCCACTTTGGAGGCACCAGAGAGGTATGCATTTTGTCTGCATCAATTCTTTCTTGTCTTTCCTATGATCTGGGATATTCATTAGATCGTTAGAATCTGGGATTGTACTTTCTAGTAAATGCTACTGCTTGGATTGTTAAAACCATGATTAAATCGGTCCTTCACATATGCTTTTCATAAAGTATCCTGACAATTCGGGAGTCCAATTACCATCTTAGGGGTTTCTTTGTTCAAATATCTCATACCAAAGCACCTAATCCAACATACCGACCATTTAGCATAGCTCTTAATTGTCAGAACTTTACATTCAGTTTATCAAACAATCTCTTGCAATGTTATGCAGGCAAGCTTCATTGCAGCAAGAGGCAGCAGTTGGACAAGTTGCACCAGATCACCCCAACATACAATCGTCTGGTCGCAGGTCAAGAAAATATGAAATGGGTGTGGCAGATCCAGAATATGCATCCCTGGAGGACCTTGCTCCGTTGGCAATGAACAAGATTGAAGCCCTCTCAATCGAGGGATTAAGAATACAGTCCGGCATGTCCGATAAGGATGCACCTTCAAACATCAGCCCCCAATCCATTGGTGAAATATCGGCTCTTGAGGGTAAACGAATCAATTTTAATGGGTCTTTGGGTTTGGAAGGAACTGGAGGACTGCAGTTAATGAATATTAAGAACAGCATCGATGGTGGCGGTGATGATGATATTGATGGAATAATGGGTTTATCTGTTACCCTTGATGAATGGATGAGATTGGATTCTGGTGAAATGGAGGATGGTGATGAAATGAGTGAAAGAACTTCAAGAATTCTTGCTGCCCATCATGCTAGTGATCTAATGCGTGCAAGAAGAGGTAAAGGCTCAAAGAAAGGCGGTCTCTTGGGGAACAATTTCACTGTGGCGTTAATGGTTCAGCTTCGTGACCCTTTAAGAAACTTTGAGCCTGTTGGCACTCCAATGCTTGCTCTTGTTCAAGTTGAGAGAGTCTTTGTCCCACCAAAACAGAAGATTCCCAGTTCTATTTATGCGTTATGGAAAAAACCCGAAGAAGAAGAAAAAGATGAGGTTCAAGAGGAGATGAAGGTGAAGGTTGAAGAAGAGAAGATTCCTGTTGAAGAAAGTGTTTCGGTTCCTCAGTTCAAGATTACAGAAGTTCATGTTGCAGGTGTGAAAACGGAGCCAAGTAAGAAGCAGATTTGGGGTTCTAACACGAAACAACAACAGGCTGGATCGCGATGGTTGGTTGCAAATGGAATGGGGAAGAAGAACGCTAAGCATCCACTTATGAAATCGAAAGCTGCTGGTGCTTCTGATAAATCTTCTTCTGGTAGTTTATGGAGCATCTCATCAAAGGGGAAGAAGGGATCAATGAAGGTAGATCCACCTGTAAGGAACCCAAATGTAATCCTACCCAATGAAACAGTCAAGTTACTTAGTGGAGTAGGGTTTGTATAGAGTGATGATGGTGAATCTCACTGGGTGAGTCAGTGGTCAGCACTTGGTTACAAATTTTATCAATTGCTTTGACCATTTCTATTGAACTAAGAGTTTGTTTGATCAGAAAGTGGATTCACAAAACCTCTCCAAATCCTCAAGTTGGTTTCCTCAAAGTGCTTGAGAAGTGGAAGGAATGCCTTTTGTTGTTTGCACATTTTAGTCCATAAATTAATGTTTGGATATTTAAAAAAAAAACGATTGTTAGAGGTGTGTGAGTCTTGTCAAAACTTCATTTGTGAGAAAAGCAGGTTTAGGTGTGTCAAAAATCGGAAACCCCTTTGGTGATATACAAATAATAAGTGGATATTTAGTTGGTTTGATCAAGCCATGTATGTATAAAGATGTTTATGTGGATTAATGTCTATATAGATTGGCACGGTTTTTGTTTACGAGTATTTTTTCATAGATGAAATGAGCATGGTTTTTATTGATGGAAAATGGTAGGTTTGGAAAAACTTGGTTTTATGTATAAAGTCACCCTTAAAGTTTGTTGAATAAGCCATATCATATATATATCATTAAAGCACTATCAAACAGTCTTATATAGTTAACCGAATAAGCTGTAAGTCTCATTAAACTGTTAACATACATATACCTATGGGTGATTTTCATATGTTCAAATTGAAGTTATATTACTTTCATTCTTTTCAGTTTGTAAAAGAAATTTTAGTTGTTGCACCAGTCTTGATATGCTCAATGTAGACACAACCATTTGTTATGATATGTATCTTGAATTGTCTATAAGAATTAATTTGTCCGAATAGATTAGGATTACTTCTTGTTTATTTTATATCTTGTCTGAAAAAACAGCTCGAATGACGATAATTACTTTCTTAACGATCCCATATACGAAAAACAAAACCAGAATAACATAAATAGTATAAAATTCAATGATTTCATCAAAGAGATGCAAATTAGTAGCAACATTAGGCAATTATAAGAAAATTGTTTGCAATTTTCATAAACATCCTCAAAGAAACACTTCACAATTTCATGGGATGGATGGAGAGAGTTAACTTTCAAATGTAAGGAGTTGAACATCAAAGGGATCTCAACTCTACATTAAGCTCCCAATGACTCAAATAAAGTAAAAAAACCAAAAAGAAAACATATTAATTAATCAAAGCAAGACTCTCCTCTCCTAGACAAGAAGAAAATACTCTACACATCTAGTCTCAAAATCATAACAATCCAGAAACTTAAAGCATCCCCAGAGCTACAGAAATGACCTCCAAGATGAGTAAAAATACACTTGCCTCAATTAATGCATCATGGTCGTGCTCTCTTGCTGCTACACGAAGGACATTTGTACTGCTTGATATGCTCTGCCTTTGCAGGAGTTATCTTTACGCACTTTCCATGGAACCATCTCTCACATATATCACAGCAAATCCAAAACTCATCTGACGCATAATTCTCTCCACAAGCCCCACACAAGGTATCCCCATGCTCTTCATCTTCCTCTTCCAATCCTTCCTCGTCACCCTTACCACCGTATTTGCCCTGGGATTCAGACCCTCGCTGGTTATATCCCCACAAAAAATTACACATCAACAAAAGGTAAACTACAAAAAGAAGTGAGATTTGATGTGATCAGAACATATTTCAGATAAGAAACGCTGTGGAAAATCTTATGCTTCAATGCAATTCTTCAAGGTGTGAGTTTGAAGGAAAGAGTGTTGATATCATTTTAAATGTTTATTAGAACACACAAGGCCGGGTGTTAAATATTAGCTTCTTATTATCAAAGACCATGCCTGCCCATTTGCAACGCTATCTGCAACAAGGATCACATAGCATTTATATATAATTTACTATAAAATCATGGCATCAGAAGAATAGGATCACAAGTGCAAAAAAGAGCATTTATGTTACGCGAGTGTACTGAAGAGAGTGTTATTTTGGTTGGTTTTCCATTAAGTCCTGTATGGATAAAGCTGTGTGTGTGGATTAATCTGTCTGTATAGATTGAGAAGTTTTTTGTTTGGGAGGGTTTTGTCATGGTGATTGAGAGTATTTTTTAATTGTGATGGGCAGCTTGGGGAAAAACTTGACTTTCTACATAAAGCTCCCCCTAGAAGCTTACTGAATAAGCCACTAGCAAATAGTCATGTATAGCTGACCAAATAAGCCGCGAGTCTCATTAAGCTGCTAATAAACAGGCCCTTGAATCTATTAAAAAAAGTAACAAGTGGTTTGATCAACTTGTGATGAAAGGAGAAGCACACAAAATCATGACTGCAAAGAACTAATATTATCCTTATATATATAAATGGAAGCTGCAAACCCGAATGTGGTCATGAATAAAGACATAACAATCAAGTTACTGAAGGCTTTGAAGAAAATATTCCAATAAATTACTTAGGACAACTTAAGATACAAGTAAAATTTCTTACCCCTTTGGTATTTGATTTGGATTTGTTGCTGCCATGGTTTCTAACCAATGACTTCTCCTTCGTCTGTTTCTTGGCATTTCCGCTCACAACCTCAAAGATTGTTGGGAGATCATTTATCATATTAAAGAGGCGTTTCCTGCATCCGGATGTGATTAATATTAACAAGGTTTATTTATAGAAAGAGTAATATGAGTTGTCCGATGTTCATTTCCCTATCACATGTTAATCAATCTTTTATAGTGAAAGGTATACTAAACATGAAAAGGGAAGAAAGATATATGGTGAATGCCATCTTACATACCACAAATTCAGGACTACTCTATTTAACACCCTAACAAGTTGAAGAAAAGAGATAAATTGATCCTCTAATGAGCTTCTCAACGTATGTCAAAACAACCATAAGCTGTTTTAAAGAACTTATATAATGTGCAATCTGCGATATATGACCTTTAGAAATGACAAAATTATCGACAACCAGTATGCTAGGTTTATGCATGATAAAAGATGTAAATGCAATCATCCAGAAGCCTTTTAGTTCAGAAAAGTTCAGACAAATAAATGCACAGGACAATTGCATTTTAGCAATTAGTTTTTATAACTAGAAAATAGATTAAATAGTACTGACACAGAATTAACAGGCAACAACCATAGAAGGATAACTACTAAACTACACCAACGAAAGCTAGTAGAAAGAAAAGGAAAACCTGTCTGCTTTGTCGAAACCAAATCTGGCACCAAAATAATACGCTACAGAAAGTAGCCATGCATCACTGTGGACAGCAACCAGAGCCAACCAATCATTTTCTTGCATCCCATCTCTGGCAAAGTTAATACCTAATGCAGGCTCAGGGAGCTCTGGAGGCACCTCCTCTGCAGGTAAGTTAACCTCCCATTGTTCGCTAGGGAATCCATATAAGCAAAGATTTTCCTTCTCTGAAAGATAAAGACATATAACTTGTCAAAAGATTATTAAGTAACAAAAAGCATCTATCAATGCACGTTATCAAAGGAAGTGACTGATAACACAAAAGTAGACCTTTAATAGCAGATCCATAAAGAATCCAAGTGCATGTAACATGTATATGTGTGAAACTGTTGAGATAGAAACAGACTATTAAGGGGCAAGCAGACCAACTGAGAATCCATGTGCATGTTACATGTATGTAAATGGAACAGCTATGGCCAATGGCGCAAAAGAATATGCATATATATATATAAGGTCAATCTCCCCCCAGCTTGGTGGTTGTCTGGTTGATAATGCAAAAGCTTGTCACAGATTACGGAGTAATTTATGCATGACTGCACCTTAAGTTATTGCAATCATTTAAGTTTACATATTAACTCAAAAGGCTGACATGTAATTGCAAAAAGCCCATAAATCTCTTGTGCATAAAAGGCTAAGCATATCAATCCCACATTACTAATTTCAGGCTTCTGGATTGCTTACAAGCCAAAAGAAGGGAACCCCTAAAGGGCTTTTTTTTTATTAACTTGGATATTCAACCCGCTATGCGAATTGACTAATCCCAGGGCTACCACCTGCTTTGTAGATAGCCCGGAGTCACCGCATTTGAACCTCCGTGGCCACAAGGGGATTTTTATTCCTCATTGGATTTGAACTTGGGACCTCCTGGTACTTTTGACCTTCGGAGCCACGCTCAAACCAATCAGGCACCACCCTTGTGGTTCCTAAATTGATGCTTCACATGGTCTTGACACTTGAAATATAAATGCACTTGTTACAAAAAAAAAAAAATCCAGCCTTCCCTTCTCCCATTCCACTCAAAAGATGTTATGAAATCATTACACATTAGGCAATAATAATAATATCTATCAAAAATCAAAATTAGAAAGATGTGTAGTGCTTGGTCTTGTGTCACCAGCAAAAAATATATGTACCGAAAGCTCTAATCCAATAACTTACATATATACTTGAATAGAGACAGTAGTTAACAAGAGGGACTCTACACGTTCCGAATTGCATAATTCATCCCCTTATCCATAGTTCCATACATACGACCCAAAGTCAAGCTTGAATCCAAAGAAGAAAATTCCAATCTATTAGTACATGTACTTGCATTGCATCGAGTTCACTTATTACAAAACAAATATGTAATATTTTCTGTAGCAGAATCTTGGAAAAGGTATTAGTGCAGAATAAATCAGGCATTATGCAAACTGAAAACTTCTTGGCCCATGCACAAAAGGATATAGATTCAACAGGGTGAATCAACCTGTAGAAAACCTACATAAAAAGTGCACTACAAATTTCTTTATTGATGATAAAAACACAAGAACATTCCAGTCCATAAAACAAGAGTAGCAGAAGAGAAATATATGCTTTTGCAACTGTTCTATGTCATCTTCGATCCACATCATTATCTGCTTGTTTAAAGAATTTTAGAATGGCGACATAAAACAAGTTCAAATGCTAAGAGCTCTGTAAATTATGCATTAGAAAGTCAGTTGTCAACCCAGACATTTCTTTACTGGAGATCCTAAGGGTCTGTTTGTTAGCAGCTTAATGAGCTTAATGGGACTCAGTTTAGTCGATCAGCTATGCATGACTGTTTGACAGTGGCTTAATGATATAGAAATTGGCTTCTTTAGTAAGCTTTTAGAGGGAGTTTTATGCAGAAAGCCAAGTTTTTTCCAAACCTGCCCCTCCCAATTAAAAAACAAGCTCTCCATCTACGAAAAGAACTCTCCCAAACAAAAACGTTCCCAATCTATTCAGACGGATTAATCCTAATGGACTCCACCCAATATATAGGCTACTGAAATCCAGAAATCAATGCATTATACATCTTATAAAATGCAGAAAAACTTGACATACACAGAATTGCACCGCGCATAAGGAACACAGTATCTAGTGCACACTAATATGATAACAGCAAGAACCAAAAGCCCAAACGCCATTAAAATTAACCGCACTTTGTTTTTACTTAAAATTGGATAATATAAAAATATCAAACACTCCAAATTATAAATAAATAAATGTATAACAAACAAAAAGGCCTACAAGAAACGTTTTTTCTACGCACACTTAATTGAATTCCTAGAATCCTGCAACACAAACACAAAGATATGCGACACACAATCATTGACGAGAATTAGAAAAAAGAAAACCTAATCATGAATGTTTAGTTCATAAAATTGTAAAACGCAAACTAAGAATGTTTTTTTCTGGATTAAGTTTGTAATTACGTTACACCCCAGCAACACAATAGGGCACATATAGAAAGAAAGAGGAACAGCAGAAAAGAAATCGAAACCCTAAGGAACCAACCAGGATCGCACTGCTGGAAAAAATCTTCAACATCTGGAAAAGAAAAAGAAAGTATGAGTAGAATGGAGAAGATGGCGAGTAATTAGAAATGAAAGACACAAGGTAGAAAACCCTAATTACTTGACGACAGAAGCAAAACACTAAATTATTTGCAATGGATAAATAAGAAGAGATACCGCACCGGTTGTAAGGGCTTTGATCATGCCACTACGACGACCTTTGTAATCCCTAAAGACTTCTTCGACGGTCCGAGGATTGTAGGCAGCGTCCATTCCGAACAGAAAAACACCTTCACTGCAAAAGAAAACTTTCAGAGAAGGATTTAAGCATGAGATTTTTAGGTATATAACGAGATTTTAATTAAAAAAAAAAACTCTATCAAATTCTCACTCACGACACGACTCGACTATAAATATAAATCCCTTTTTATATTTTTTTATATTATATAATCCATGAATTTAATTAAAAGGTCATTTACCTTCGTTTAAACATCCATTTTAACTTGAAAGAAAAAAAAGTAATTTAAAATAAAAATAAAAAAGTACTTTAAACATCCATTTTAAGTGTATCATTATCTGTATTATGAAATACTTTACCTCATCTAATGGAATCCTGACACGCATCTTTTGCTACCTCATTCATATCATGTATTATTATCCATCCTGACATACCTCCATGTACCTTTCTCTCATCTAAATCACGTTTCGCGACGTCTTTTCTAGATATATCAACACCTTGTGTTGTGTAGGTCCTTGCTACGCTCTCTATACATCTTCTTCATGAGGAGGTGCATTGACTCAATAGTTGACCTCTCTTGCATTATCATTTCCTGAAAACATGCTTGTTTTACTTTAACTTTCGTTTGAACGTCTTTGTTCCACCACCATGCCTCCTTTTGATCCGTAGTGTTCCCGGACGAAACTCCAAGTGCCTCCTTATTCGCTTTAATGGTATGGGCTACTCTACTTCACACCTACCCAACATCCTCTGGTTGCCCATTTCCTAACTTAAGGCCTCTAAACTCGCCCCTCAAAGACAATCTATACGGTTCGAACTACCAATGAGCCATTAGTCATGTGCCCCCACTCATAATTGCTCCTCCCACTTTCTAAGCCCCGAGTTCAACACCATTAGGTCAAGTGTGCTTACAAGATCAAAGAGATTACGGCCTCCTTTGTGGAAGAGTTTAAACGAGAACACCTTCATTTTACGAGAACACGACAACACTTTTTTACTACATGTGATATTCTATTCCATCACATATGATCAAATGTGATACTAAATCAGAGACACAGACGACTTTTGGCGCGATATAAGTTGCAGTCTAAGTCACCCTTACACCACTAAGCCCCCTTTCATGTATTTTCACATTTGATAAGCGTGTTCTTGATGTGATATTATAATCCATCACGTGTGATACTAAATCATAGACGTAGACGACCTTTGGCTCGACCTAAGTCACAGGGCACATCGTTTGTACACCACCAGGGTCCTCACGTATAATATCACATGTGATAAGGGGGTTCTCGTATAACGGAGGTATTCTTGTTTGAACTCTGCATATATATATAGGTGGAGGTTCAAACGAGAACCCTTGTGATTTACGARAATGCGAGAACAACCCAATAACCTCAAACTTTTTTAATTAATAAATTAACTTTTATTATATATAAATAATTTAATAAGGACAATAATGTAATTAAGTAATTTTTATAATTTTTATTTTATTTTAATTAACCATAATTATCTTTTCACGTTCCACGTTTTACTCTTTGGTAGTTATCTTCTTCTTCTTCTCGTTAACATATTTTCTTCATATCACACATCTATCACATAAGTATCACACTCATATCATATGATTATCACACCCATATTATATGATTACACCAAAATTTTAACTTGTCAACCAAAACGATAACTCAAGTGATGTATAACAGTGATTATCACACCCTTATCACATGATTATCACACCCAAATCACATGATGACACCAAAATTTTAACTTATCAACCAAAACGTTAACCCAAGTGATGTATAATGGTGATTATCACACCCCTATCACACTTATATCACATGATTATCACACCCCTATCA